AAAAAATTGTATTCCATTTTTTAACAATGCACCGTTTTTGTTTTTTTTCGACGATGGCTTATTTCGATAACTTTGTGGCGTCCAACATCTGTCACAGAACCTTATAGCATCCCACATGTTGCTCACACTGAAGGAACACAGCTCCAAGGAAGTATGCAACCAATACCTGAAGATGCAACCCTGTTGATGAAGAAACACAGCTTCGATATTTTTTGACTTTCTCTTGAATCTTTCTCTTTCGATTATACGCGGACCGAGAAGAGGTACATTTCTTGTAATAGGAATTGTTTTAATAAATAAATTAGGTTAATTTAAATTGAAAACTTAACCCACAACTTATTTTCTAAGCCTTCCAACGGTTAAGAATGGCATGTGGCAAAAGGACTACAAGTTTTTCATAATATAAGGTATTCGGATCCGCCTTGCATTTTTGTCGGCAATGCATGCCATTGCCTGGAGGTTTTTGGGCTACTCCATATCTTGATATCTCCTGGGTGGTCTAAATGGCTTAGTTTCCGATCCACACAGTCGCGCTTTCGTGACGGTTGGAAAGGCCTAGTTTCCAATCCGCTCATTTATTTTTTAGTATCTAAGGTTTTTAATGTACTCTAGGTAGGCGGAAAGGCCGAGTTTCCGATCCACCTAGTCTCGATATCTTAGTGTGTCGAGTTAGCACTACACTTTTCGAAATTGGAAAAGTTAACTACGGCATTAATTGTAGTGTTTTTGTTGTAAATTTGTTGTGAAAGAAAAAAAATTGCAGCTTTCGTTTTTTAAGAAAAAAGGTTATGCAGTGCTAACTTGACACCGTACACCTAGTCGATAGAATTGAGATATTGAAAATGTTATAACGGCATTAATTGTAGATTTTTTGTTGTAAATTTGTTGACAAAAAAGCTACATTTAATTCCGTTGTAACCTTTTTAATATCTCAATTCTGTCGTCAATGGTGCGTGGTGCCAAGTTAGCACTACACACTAAATTTTATTCGAAAAAGGGTCAACTCATTTTTTTCCAGCAAAACGAAAGCTACAAATTTTTTCCTTTCACAACAAATCTTAAAGTCAAAAGCTGCAATTAATGGCATAGTAACATATTGGTTATCTCAATTCTATCGACTAGGTGTATGGTGTCAAGTTAGCATACATACCACTTCTTCTTAAAAAACGAAAGCTACAAATTGTTTCTTTCCACAACAAATTTACAACAAAAAATCTTCAACTAATGCCGTTATAACATTTTCAATATCTCAATTCTATCGACTAGGTGTATGGTGTCAAGTTAGCACTACATACCAAGGCATAACAAGGTAGAAGTGATTTCGACATTACTCTCTTTTGAACTGCGACTGAACTGTCAACTCTTAACCCTATACTATTCAAACAATTTTTTTTTATATAAATTTTCAATTGTGAGCTGTGCGACTGATTTTAAATACATAATAAAATGAAAAGGAATTGCGAGCGGTGCGTTGTGTTTGTCAAGAGCCTGGACAACAACCTTGTGCGTTATTTTAAACCTTCGAATTGTCAAGTGAAGCGACAACGGTGGGCAAATTGCTGCGATGTTTCATAAGGAGACTCTTCACGTGTGGTCGTGACTTTATTTGTTGCCTATCGCAGTCGAGTATTTCTAAGTGGACGCGTTTGGTCCCAGGTGCAGGATTTATCATACCGAATATGAAAAGAAAAACTCCCTTTCATATACAGATGCGTGCAACTAATTAGCAACGAAATTCAAAACGATATTGCTTGCAAATTATGTTTATTTATTTATTTTTAATAATTTTCATTTAAAATATAATTCAATCTATAACAGAAACCACAATAACAAAAGTTGCAAAGCTTGCACAAATTGCAAAAAAATTAATCAAACTTAAAAAAATCGTCATAAAAATTTCAAAATTTTTAATTAGATTATAAAGAAAATGTTGGGGTATGCAGTTTTGTAGCCCATTCAATTTTAGTATAATAAAGTGGAAGTTTCAAGTCGCTAAAAATTACCGTTGATATTTTAGAATTTTTTTTGTCGAGGGTGTTGCAGATTTTTTTCCATGTAAAAAAAAATTTTGATCATGTGTTATATGGAAGAAAATGCGCAACACCCTCCACAAAAAAATTCTAAAAAATCAACGGTAATGTTTAGCGACTTGAAACTTGCACTTTATTATACTAAAATTGAATGGGCTACAAAACTGCATACCCGAAAATTTTCTAAATAGTCTAATTAAAAATTTTGAAATTTTGATGACAATTTTTTGAAGTTTGATTAATTTGTGCAAGCTTTGCAACTTTTGTTATTGTGGTTTCTGATATAGATTGAATTATATTTTAAATTAAAATTATTAAAAATAAATAAATAAACATAATTTGCAAGCAATATCGTTTTGAACTTCGTTGCTAATTAGTTGCACGCATCTGTACATACATGGATAGGCCAAATTTCAAACCAGTATTCCTTGTTGGCATAAAGAAACTGAAAGTAATTTGTTTTAATTTAATGGAAAGGAAATTCGAATAGCAAAAATTTAATAGCCAAATTATTGAAGTTAAATTCTGGTGTAAATTTAGAAGAATCAAACTTTTTTTAATGTCTAATATACTTTAGAATTAAGTATTTGAATAAAAAAATAAATGCTCAAAAACATTGGGGTAGTCAAAGCAAGAAAATTGTCAAAACGGTTTTATAAATGAGTGTGTTTCATTTTGTGTGTAATTTTGTGTAAGTATGCATTTCCACATTTACATTAAACTGAATATTCAATAAATAAAATGAAGCTGATTCTAATGAGATTTTAAATATTTTCATATTTACAAAAACTTTCATTTCAAAGATGTTGAGTTCTATCAAATATGGTAAATACATAACAATGTTTACATTTCTGGACATTACAGTCAGGTATGAGAGAGCTCGACTGAATTGTCACTTCTACCTTGTTGAATATGTCTTGCCATATTACCATATTAAAAAAAAAAGAGCTACAAATTTTTTCTTTCCACAACAAATTTACAACAAAAACACTACAATTAATGCCATTTTCAACTGTTCCAATTTCGAAAAGTGTAGTGCTAACTTGACAGACGTGTCATTTTGCTGTTTGACATTTTTACGGATCAGAGCTAATATCATTTTGAATTTTATTGCAAATGATACGGCCAAAAGTGTACATACATACTTAAGTAAATAGCACGATGCAGAAAATGAAGGTGGCGCCATTCGCCGACCGCTAACCCTCTCTTCGTCGATTTGACAGCTTCCACCCATTCGCTGACGTGACACAATACTTTTGTTTACATTCAGTGTTGCCAACTTCGTGCTTTTCGCACAAAATTAAGTCG